ACCCTTCCCTTTCCAAGCTTCAATCTCTTTCAGTGATACGTTTGGATGGAAACAATCTGTCTGCTCCAATTCCAGAATTCTTCACAAAATTAAGGAACTTGACTTCTTTGAGGCTTAGTAACACCAATTTGCAAGAAATTTTTCCAGATAAAATCTTCCAGATACTTTCACTACAAACTCTTGACTTGTTGACCAACCCATCTCTTGAAGGATCTCTTAAAGAATTTCTCCCTGCTTCATCTCTTGAGACCCTGCTGCTCAGCGACACAAGTTTTGGGGGAACTTTACCACATTCTATTGGAAACCTGGGAAGGTTGTCAAGGATAGAGCTTGCACGTTGCAATTTCAATGGAACAATTCCAAAGGAAATAGCAAATCTCACACGGCTTGTCTCTCTGGATTTTTCATCAAACAGCTTTTCGGGTTCAATTTTCTCCATTAAATGGTCGGGCCTTTCCAAGCTTGTGAGTATTAATTTGCACAACAATTCAGTAATTGGAACTATCCCTGCAACTTTGTTTGGCATTCCATCTGTGCAGAGTATAGTCCTCTCAGAAAATCAATTCAGTGGTAGATTGAATGAGCTTTCAGAATCAGCTTCTTCTGCACTGAACACCCTTGATTTGGGAAGAAACAAGTTGGCAGGACCATTCCCGATGTTTATATTTCATCTCCATAGCCTGAAAGTCCTTGTGCTATCTTCCAACAATTTCAGTGGTCCAGTAAATCTTAGCTTGTTTCAGCAGCTAAAGAATCTTTCAACACTTGATCTCTCATTCAACAGCTTGTCAATCAATGGAGTTGATTCTAACCCTGTTTCTTTTCCCCAGATTCGCACATTAAAATTGGCTTCTTGCAACCTGACAAGATTCCCTAATTTCATGCAGGAGCAATCTAAACTAATCATTTTAGATCTTTCAGAGAACCAGATTGATGGAGAAATACCCAACTGGGTTTGGAATATTACATCTCTCAGTTACTTAAATCTTTCTCACAACTTTCTGGCGACTATGCAAGAACCTCCACAGGTTTTCAGTTCTAATATGTTTGTGTTAGACCTTAGTGGCAACAATCTGCGAGGGCAACCACCAAAACCCCCACCATTTGCTACATATGTTGATTACTCGAACAACAGCTTCAGCTCTGTTATACCAATAGACATTGGTGATTTTCTCAATTACACTTACTTCTTCTCTCTTTCCAACAACAGCCTCCACGGAAGTATTCCTGAATCAATTTGCAATGCTACATATCTTACTGTCCTTGATTTGTCAAATAATTTCTTTAATGGCACTATTCCCCAATGCTTGACTACGATAGAGTCTCTAGGGGTGTTGAACCTGAGAGGAAATAACATCAGTGGCAGCATATCTGATACATTTTCAAATACATGTGGGATACAAACTCTAGACGCCAATCAAAATCATCTGGAGGGTAAGATCCCACGTTCATTGGCCAACTGCAGAAGGCTGGAGGTTTTAGACCTCGGAAACAATTTGATCAATGATGTTTTTCCTTGCCATTTGAAGAACATATCCAATTTGAGAGTCCTTGTTTTGAGGTCCAACCACTTTCAAGGTCAAATTGGTTGTCCAAATGAAAGTTCTTCCTGGCCAATGCTTCAAATTGTTGATCTTGCTTCCAACCATTTTAGTGGAAAACTGCCAGAGCAACGCTTAAGAACCTGGAAGGCCATGAATGATGAAGGTAAGCTCCAGCACCTTCATTTTCATATCCTGCCACTCAGTTCACTTTATTATCAGGATTCAATAACAGTTACCATGAAAGGTCTTGAGGTGCAACTGGTTAAAATCCTCACCCTTTTCACCTCCATTGATGTCTCATGCAACGACCTCAAGGGGACAATACCAGAATCTATGGGAGAAATGGGAGCACTCCATGTCCTTAACCTGTCACATAATTCTCTCACAGGACCAATCCCATCATCTCTGGGAAAGTTGCGGGAGCTTGAATCCTTGGACCTCTCAAGCAACAACCTGACTGGTGAGATTCCTCAGAAGCTGTCGGATCTCTTTTTCCTGTCAGTCCTTAATCTCTCAAACAATAATCTGATGGGGCCAATTCCAACATCAAATCAGTTTTCAACATTCTCAAATGATTCCTTCAGAGGCAACGATGGACTCTGCGGCCCTCCTTTGTCAGAAAGATGTGAGAGTAATGGCAATGCTCCAGACTCAAGATCTCCGCTGCCATACCAGAAAAGTGAAT